CGTTGGATTTCAATGCTGACATTATTATCGGTGTTAATGCTGGTTCCCAAGTAAACGAAATTATCTACTTTCTCGAAATTGTAACTGTCAACAGTGACGTGGGTGCCAAGGCGCGAATGTGCTGACTGTTTGTTTGATGACAGGAGATACTTCGTCTTGTCCTCGTTTACCACCAGACCCATTCGTTTTGCTTCCCTATCCAACTTGGAAAAGGCAGAACAGACTTCGCGGTTTTTGTTACCGATGATGTCGATGTCATCGGCATAAGCCAGCAATAGCACGCTCTTGTAGTAAATTGTTCCCGATCGGTTCAGTTCTGCAGCTCTTATTATCTTCTCCAACATCAGATTAAAGAAGTCACATGAAAGGGAGTCGCCCAGTCTGAAACCCCGTTTTGTGGCGAACGGCTCGGAGAGGTCTTTCCCAATTCTGGCGGAGCTGGTGGTATTGCTCAACGCCATTTTACACAGCCGTATAAGTTTTGAGAGGATGCCAAATTCAGACATAGCGGCGTATAGGCAACTCCTTTTAGTGCTGTCAAAAGCGGCTTTAAAGTCGACAAATAGGTAGTGAATGTCGATCCTTTTCTCGCGGGTCTTTTCCAAGATTTGGCGTATTGTGAATACCTGGTCTATGGTAGATTTTCCAGGTCTAAAGCCACACTGATAAGGCCCAATCAGTTCTTAGGTAACTACTTGGTACAAAATCATGAGTTTTATGAAATATTTCACGGTGTTATAATGTAAAAGTTGGAAAAAAACATGTCAGATAACAAAGAGAAAGTTTTAAACTTAAGGTCAGTGGAGGATACGAGACGATATTTAAAATAGAACGTACGAGGCATCTGTTTATTGGGTTGGGTCCACTGGACCCCGTGTGACCATTACGCTATTTTTTGTGTGGTGTGTGTGACCATTACGGGTTAAATTTTGCGCGGCAAGGCCACTACTTCTAGTCCTACTACTGGGCCAAGTTTGAAATTGATATCTCAACTTTTAGAATTTTGGCCACAAAATAGGGTCAAATTTCCTATAGTGCACTGTAGTATCCATTTCCAGTCGGCACCCTCGCGGTGGCTTTAGCCGAGGATTTTCGCCAAGCATTTGAGTCAGAAGTCAGAAGTCTCAGAATTCTGAATTCTAGCCCCCATTGGGTGTCCGAAAAAGCGTCAGACAAGAGAATATTTCCCTTCTTAGGTTAGGAGTCATATTAGAGTATTAAAAACAAATATTTTTTATAATTCTGATTACTAGTTAATAAACGTTTACTTCCACGTGAACTTTGGTACTTTTGTTCAACTCAGAATTTAAGACACCAAAAGAGTCCGAAGCGAGTCAATGTGGTTGACTTGTCTCAGAATCATATTTATGACGAAAGAGATACATTTTACATTCAAAAATTCTGGGCACTCAGAAAATTGTTTAAATATGTACATGGTCGTGTATAGTCATATGTACGTATATACATGTGTACATATGTATGAAGTTTTCCAGATTTTATGCTATGAGACGTTCCAACTGTTACACTTACGCGTATTTGTTGCGTAAATTTAATTACTCTCGACGCTGATAAAAACCATTGACTTTTAATGCAATCTGCTCCAATAAAAACACATTTCCTAATACGCGACATTTATGAATGAACGTCTATATATTTAGTAGAGATGGCCTAAAAACGCATCTGGGCTATTCCATTGTCATAGGTGGGTCATTTGTATAATGAAAATTTTCTTTCCTCCATAAATTTAAGTATAAAATGCGTAGCAATACTGCATTTCGATAAATCCACATAATTCACTAATTTATGAGTTATTACCAAATACGAAAAAATGCCTAATTCATTTTATTTGGGAAAAACTAAGTTTTTTCTGCCCCGGACTGAATAAAAACATACCTACATTTTTGAAAGAGAAATATTTTAATGAAACTCTGCGGACAAATTTCATATTTCTATTTAAATGCTTTATTATAAAGGAAAAAAACCACAACAAAAACTCTGGCTTTTGTATATAAAAATCCGAGATTCCCCTGCCACGGGAGGCACAACTTTAGTCGCGTACGATTTTCTTGATGACCTTGGTTTCTAGTGTTATCCATATTAAAGAGATTAACTATGATAAGTTCAAAAGCCATGTAACAAGATCAACTCACCCGCTTTTATCACAATACAGTTGGGCTGACATAATCCTGAACAAATATATTCCCTATAAGTATAGTTGATTTGGTTCTAATATTATAGCAATGTTTTTTTCTTATTCAGGGTTTCCAAGCATAATTTTAACGATCATGCTTATTTTGCTTATTTCAATGTATAAAGCTAAGTACGGACCTTGTAAGTAAACGATCAAGAAATAAATTGCTATTATTTTGTGTGTGTGAATAGTAGTGTCCAAGGAGTTTTGACATCTGATATTTTTTATAGCGTGCTGTCTCACTTTTTCCTTACGAAATAATGAAACGGGCATATATTTCTGTTGAAAGCAAAGGTGCCTTGTCGTACTCTTCACAAACAAACTTCAGAAAACCATAGTAGCAAATTTCTTAAGAACTTCGTACTGCTTTAGAAAATTTGGCACACTAAGTTTTTCTTGACCTTTTCTTGGTCTTTTTTTGTTCATCGAACTAAAGAAATGTTTACAAATAATAACATAAAAACAGATTTGGTTTTTATTAACCCTTAACTTCAATTGCATTGCTGCTTGGATACAATAATTTAAAACCCATGGTTAGTATCTACGGGAACGCGTTGATGTTATTGAAGAGATTAAAAATAATTTATTTCAAATGAAAAGAAAAAAACGGCTTTCGAAATATATATTAGTATAGATAATTCGACTCCAGCGTTCCCAAGCTGAAAAATATATATAAAATATGACCGAAATCGGACTATAAATACGATTTTTAGTAATAAGTCGATCCCAGCGCCACCCTATGGGGTGTTTCTCTCCGTAACATTTTTCTTTGGGCAAAGACAAAGACAACTAAAAAAAGCCTACTTAAATTGGACAATCCATTTTCGAGTTATGGGATCATACGTTTTACGCAACGTCGTTCTATATATATAGAGATATAGATATATATTTTTAAATAGTTGGCAACCCTCTTCAAAATTATTACTTCTGGTTAAGAGTGCATTTAATTAAATTAATAAAGGCATTTCACTTTCATTCCCTGAATGCGTTTTAAATATTTTGTCAGTATACTATATATTTAAGGTCCAAAAATTTTAAACGGGTGGCAATTCTATCAAAAAGTCTTTATTCTACCTTAAGCAGTGTAGCTTTCCTTCAAAATGGTGTTTCAATCATTCCATTTCATGAAGTATTATGGAAGATATGGCGCTTTATTGACCGGATACAGTGCTTTCAGCTTTTTAGAACCCCCTTTTTTCAGTAAATAACTAAATTTGAAGAAAGTAACTATTTTTCGCATGTATGTGAGCTTCCCCATTCAAAATGAGTTATCATTCATTAAATTTGAAATATTAAAGGAAATATCGTTTGGTAACAGAAAAATGCCTTTAGAAATAAGTATGTAGACTATTACTGAATTTTACTGGATAGTGCGTACGCAAACAGGCCTAATTTTTCCCTTGTATCCGCGATTTCGTTTAAATAGTATTGTCATACTTTTTTACAAAGTTCGATATTTTTAGATATGGTGCCCCTTTTTTTGAAGATCAACCGTGGGACTTAATTTTTCAATTGCTCAGCTGACGTTTCTTAAAGTAAAATATGCGAGTGCCTAAGTAAAAGGATATACACTTATACTTATTTATTGTTTATATGCATTTTAAACCCCGGTAGGAAAAAATGTGTAACAAGTTCAAATATGACTTCAGCCTCATGAGTAATTTAAAATCTTTCTGATAACAGATCAGCGAACACAATAACGTTGAACCAAACCAAGAAAAATTCCCGAAAATTTTACCAGAGAGATAGGCGACTTACCTTTCCCAGTTGGATAAGGAAGCAAAGCGAATGGGCTGGTGGTAAACGAGGATAATTGTCCTGCCATCATATTTTGGAGAAAGTACAGAATTTAGTTTAGTTGAGGACCAGCATTAGCGCTGTTAATAATGTCAGCAGGGAAATCAAAAGCAGAATCACTCTTGGCAACAAGTGCTAATTTGGACTGAGTATGCAATTAAGGAGTAAAGTCCTCTCTCGACGTGCGAAAACCACACTAAATAAGTCACTCATCATGCCCGTGTTGATATATGGGGCAGAAGCATCGGATGAGGCGGTTCTTGGAGTATTTGAGAGAAAGATTTTGCCGAAGATTTACGGGCCTTTACGCGTTGGCGACGGCGAGTACCGCAGAGGATGGAACGAGCTTTACAACGAAATAGACATAGTGGAGCGAATTAAAATACAGCGGCTCCGCTGGCTTGGCCATTTCGTTCGAATGGACTCCAATGCCCCAGCTCAGAAAGTATTCAACTGGGAATCCGCTGGTGGTAGCAGAGAAAGAGGGAGACCCCACTGCGATGGAAAGATCAGGTGGAGAAGGACTTGGCTTCACTT